GGGTGCTGAGAGGTGAGGGCTGGGGGCTCGCATGGGGGTGCTGCTCTGTGGGGCTGGGGTCCCTGGGANGCGAGGCCAGATGATTCGGTGCCTTTCACCTGCACGACTGGAGGGTTCTTTCCTGACAAGATTGGCGTGAAATGGTTCAAGAACGGCAACTCCATGACGGCTCAGCCACCCCAGGTCACTCAGTCAAGGATGAAAACCTACAACATGTCCAGCACAGTGGAGGTGACCCTGCAGAAGGACGATGCCCGCTCACAGATCACCTGTCAGGTGACTCACTCCACACTGCCGGCCCCGCTGCAAGGGAGCTTCCAGCTCAGCAGGGTGCTGAGAGGTGAGGGCTGGGGGCTCGCATGGGGGTGCTGCTCTGTGGGGCTGGGGTCCCTGGGAGGAGGGCAGGGCGCCCTGTGGGGCACAGCAAACACCGAGCTCTGCCTCTCTTCCCAGTTCCTCCCAGTGTTGATGTGTGGGCTGAGCCGAGCCCCGCTGAGGTGAACAAGACCGTGGTCTTCACCTGCCTCCTGAAGGAGTTTTACCCACCTAATGTGTCCGTTTCCTGGCTGGAGAATGGGATTAGGATAAAGGGGCAGAACCTCTCTGGGCCACTGGAGGTGTCCCGGGGCTTGTTTGAGCTGAGAAGCCAGGTGGAGGTGCAAGCGACGGAGGAGAAAAACGGGTCCACGATCACCTGCAGGGTGGTGCACGATGGCCAGGCCCCTGCCAACGACTCAGCCATCCTGTGGATCTCCAACCCTGCCCAGGGTGGGTTCCAGATGGATAAAGGTGCATTAGAGCTGTTGGGATGGGGTGCCTGGCAGGGTGGTTGTGTGGTGTCACCCCTGAGGAAGCTCAAAGCCCCAGTAAAAATCTGGTAGAAGGACCAAATCTCCATATCAGGGGGCTGGGGGATGTGACGGTGGCAGGCACTGAGCTGTCCTCCTTGGTGCCTCACGCATCACTGGGCCAGTCCCAGTTGTGAGGCTGCTGGGACTGTGTGGTACCACGTTCCTGGGCCATGGTGACCTTTTCATTGATGTTTCAGATGATATGCTCATCTACATCGTGGTGGGTGTGGTCTGCACCGTGCTGGCCCTGCTGGTGGCTGCCATTCTGTACCTGATCCGGACCAAGCAGATCAAGGGTAAGGGAGCCAAGTGTGGGGCAGGGAGACAGCTGCTCCCAACCCCGTTTTTCCTCTCTTTCCCATGTGTTTCACATTGCCCTATTGGACAATAACTCCTGGCAGTGCAGCTGCAGGTCCTGCCCAGTGGGGTGGTGGATAGAGCTGCCCATGTTGTTTGAGGCTGCAGGGAAAACTCTGGCTGGTCTGAATCCTGCCCTGCACCTCCTGTGCTCCCCCAGGAGCAGTCCTGAATGAAATTGATTGAAACTCCAGGGAATTGCAAGCATTTGCCTCTGGGAAAAGATATGTCCTTGTCCTTGAAGCAGTCTCTGCATGTGATCTCTGTGCCCAGGGAAATGGGGCGTTTATCTTGTTTTCTGAATTATTTTTTCCCTAAGTTTTTTCCTAATTTTTTCCTTCTCTTTCAGCAGGTAAAAGCTCACCGTCTGCCAGGTGAGTGCAAATCTCTTCTAGTCACTGGGTAACCTGTGGGAACTCTGAGCTAGACACCCCCAGTCCACAGAGTCCCTCAGGACTGGGACAGAGCTGTATCCCCAAAACTTGTGAAGGGGAAGGCAGGAGCACAGTCTCTGCCCATCTCCCCAGCTGGGGCTCTGGGGATTTTTGCTTGTGGTGGGGCTGAGCAGAATGGTGGGAGCTGGTCTCTGGCCAGCAGAGAGGCAGCTGGACCAGCACAAGCCAATGTTGAGGACCTGTCTTGCTGGGTGCAGCTGCAAGGACCTTGGCTTGCATCTGACCTCCCCAGCTGCTCCATCACCAGGGAAAGGGCAACAGGACCCTCCATCCATCTGACTGTTCTTGTCCCTCCTTCCAGGTTACATGAGCCAGAGAAAAGCAGCGAGGCCACAACCCAGGTGGGTGATGCTGGGACTGGGGAGGGAGAGTGGCTGGGTGCCACTGGAGATGGGAGTGGAGAGTGGTGGTTCTCAGTGAAACATCTCAGTGTCTCCACTCTGTGGCTGGAGGTGGAAGAGAGGCCGCCCCAGGAAGAGGATAGCCACTTCCCTGAACCTTTTCTGCCTTCACCCTCCCTCCTCCACCACCTCCTCCTCCTCCTCCTTCTTCTCCTTCTCCTCCCAGTAAAGTCTGGGTTGGTGCTGCCTGGAGAACCAGCTGTGCGATAGCCAGCCAGGCTATTTGTGGAGTTATTTTGCATTTGGTGACGCAGCTACGAGCGAAGTCGTGATCAGCAGCAATCTGTCCATCCCACCCAGGCTCTGCCAGCTCCCGCGTGGGCATCACTGGGCAGTCTGGCCTTGCTGGGATGCAGTGGCTTCAGTGACAGCTCTGGAATTGTGGCAGTGGTTTTGAAGCCAGAGCAGGGTGATGGGGTGGCTCACGATGTGAAGCTGTAGCATGGGGTAAAGCATGGCTTCAGGGTGGTGGCTGCTGGCATTGTTCCCCCATAGAAGCAAGGTTGAGGTGCCCCGGGCCGAGCTGCAGTGGGATTGACTCCAGAACAGGGCTGTGGGTCCAGGGACATCGTTCCATAGGAGGAACTCTTGGTGCCTCATGCAGGAATCCGACCCCAACAACCTGACCTACGCGGACCTGAACTTCGACAAGGAGAGGAAGAGCATCCGGCGGATGGTGGAGATGAGCCAGCAGTCGGAGTACGCCTGCATCCAGAGCAACCAGGCGCCCAACGGCGACGACAACCTCACCTACGCCGACCTGGACATGGTGCACCTCAGCAAGGCGCCCAAGCGGCCGGCCCCGCGCCCCGAGGAGGCTGGCTCCGAGTATGCCAGCGTCCAGATCACCAGGAAGTGAGCAGTGGCTGCAGGGACCCCCTGTCCTGCTGGGAACAGCTCTGCTCCTCCCTAAGACTGTTCTCTTGGAAGCAGCGGGAGCGATGTGAGGATGCGCTGCGGTACCTGTGTTTTAGGATGGAAATGGAGCCCTCAGTACTTGTGGGGGTCTTCTCCCATCCAGAGAGACATGATTTTTGGGGGCAGTTTGGTCCTGGGGCTGCCAGCTCCATCCCTTCAGGACCCCCATCAAGGGTTGCTCAACCTCAGTGTGCTGGGTTTGCCCGCGAGCAGATTCAGCAAGCGGAGCAGCAGCTCCTTGGGAAGCTCCAGCTGCGCTGAGGGGACAGGTACAGTGCCTCCACACCAGCTCTCATGGGGATGCCACTGCCTGGCCCACGGCTCCCCAGGACCAGCAGGGCCCCCACACTGCCTTCTGGGGCTCTGCCACCACGCCTGGACACCAAACTCTGGCTTTAAAGGAAGGACCTGAGTGTCCGCCTCTCTTCCCAAGTGTCCCTTCTGCGGGACCTCTGTCTCGCCACAAGGCCAAGAGGCTGGAAGGCCAACGAGCCAAGGCCCCTGCCCTGCCGTCCAGGGGAGCTCCAGGTCTGGCTCCTCAGCACCAAGCATCCTCCTCCTCATCATCATCATCATCACCTTCCTGTGCTCAGCCTTGCCCTGCCCTGGGACCCACCAGCACTGCCCCAGGCTTGTACAAAGCGTGCGAGGGCCCCCCCAGCCTGGCTCCCCCCGGGAGCTCCCCGCAGGTACCGTGTAACATGTTTTGACTGTTTGACATGTAACTGTTAATTTTTAGAGCTGAAACCCCCAATGTTTTGTGTTGTACGTGGGTGTACTGCTGTGTACTTAACACTAGAATAAGATGTGCAAAATTAAGACCGAGGCCTCAGTAAAGAATCCCCTAAACCCTACAGAGTTTATAAGAGACTTCTATGCTCCCCCCACCCCAGCTCTGTCTTGGGGGCCAGACAGGCTCCCCCCAGCCCACCCATGGGGACAAATGTCTTCCCTGTGCCCCCTACCTGGGCCACCGTGTGGAGTCTGACCCTCTGTTGGCTCCTGCAGCAGTGGAAGTGCAGGGGGCTTGAGGGCACCTGGGGTCCTTGGGGTGCTTTGGGAGCAATGTGACTGCTTGTACAGACATTTTTTTTTTTTTTTTTTTTTTTTTTTTTTCTTTTTGCTTGCAAGATATTTTTATAATAAAAGTGAAAAGTCCTGTGCTGCTCCCGCACGTGAGCGTGTCCCTGTGCTCAGGGGGGTCACCTTGGCACTGGCACTGGGGCTGCAGGGTGGGCTTGGGGGTCTGTGTGTCCTGCAGGGAGGAGGAGAGGAGGGCTCATCCTGCACAGCCCTGTCGTGTGTGCTGGAGGGAAGGCAGGAAGTCAAGGCTGGGATGGGGGCTGAGGTGCTGGTTCCCCTGGGCACCATGAGGGAGGGGAGCAGTGCACCCCATGGGCAGGGAGCTGAGCTGGGGTGCCCAGACTGGTGTGCAGGCAGGCTGGGTGCTGGCTCCAGCCTGTGCTGTGAGTGAGCTGAGTGTTCAGTGCTCTGCAGTGACCTCCCCCCTTTCCCAAGCTGGAGCTGGTGCCTGGGCTGTGTCTGGGGCATGAACTGTCGCACCAGAGCCAGGAACTGCCATGTGGGGCTACACAGACACTTAAAAGGGAAGTTGCTGCCCAGGCTGGGCTTCCTCAGCTCTGAGCTGCTGCTGGAGGGGTCACTGAGCAGAAAAGGGACAGTTTGCCCCCTGCCCTCAGCACAACTGCCCCTTCCCAGCTGGGCAGCAGTGGTGATGCCCAAGGGAGTCTCCCCTGCCTGCTGCTGCAGGGGGTACCTTGCCAGCACCCTACAGCCCCCTGCAGCAGGCTGAGCATGGCTTGCTCAGCTGAGATGGCCCTTTCACCCTCAGGATATGGCTCCAGAGGTGTGTGGGGCCCCACATTCCTTTTGGCACCAATGGCACTGGAAGGACACTACCGTGTGCTGCTCTCACAACCAGCACCCCTGGCCCATTTGGGCACCCCAGTTTGGCGTGCTTGGTCTGCCCTGCAGAGCACACTCAGCACCCAGATGGCTTCAGCTTCGTTGGCATCTGCCTTTTATTGACTGCAGGGGGAGTTGGGTGTTGGGGCTTGGGGCTGACCCTGCCTCTGGAGTCGCTCTTGGAGGGGGAGCCCAGGGGCACCAGGAGGGTGCTGGGATCGGTGGGCTGCTGTGAGAGGCTCGGGGAGGGGAGTGAGGGCTGGGCTCAGCAGTGCTTGAACACCTGGTGATGGTGCTGTGGTTCCACCAGCCACCTCTGCCCGTGGCCTCCCCGGTCCAGCCCTGCTTCATCCTTCCCAGTGCTCGGAGCCCCCTGCCCTGTAGCTCAGCTCTGGTGGTTTGCAGATGCTGCTGTGCTCCAGCAGCCACGGGAGGATGGAGGATCTCTGTCCCCAGCAATACCCCCTGGGAACCCTGGGCTGGGCCACAGCTACCCCACCAGCAGCCGGAGGAGTGGCACTGTCCCCTCCGCACACAGGATGGGCAGGTGAACCAGAGAGGGACAATGGGATGGAACTCACGGTCCCCTGAGCAAATGAGGCAAGGGTGACACCAGCCACACGGGGCCGGGCAGGGGACAGGGCTGGGGGTGATGGCACGGTCGGGGTGGCAGTGGCAGTGTGGGGAGCCACGCCTGGCTCTATAGGTCTGAGACCTCCCCTGAGTAGGCGCTGGGGTCCTCGTCCGACCGCATGGTCACCTTGAACTGCCGCCGCAGGAAGCCCCCGTAGCGCTTCTGATTGTCCCACTTGAGCTTGGGCCGGATGCGGCGCAGGAAGCCCCCATAGCGCTTGTGCAGC